ATCCCATTGAGCAATCTACGGCTCGCATGTTGGATTTGCGATCGCATATCCACATTTACAATGCCTTTTTGCTCTTTTCTTGTTTTTTGTGGCTTTTTGATTTCATTTCCATGATCTTAAGTTCTTAAACCTCATATACTGCAAAAACATTAAAATTACATAAGTATAGAAGATAATTGCGTCTAAAACAAGCTAAAATCTAAGCAATTTGTATCAAATATGCCGAAATGCTCTGGCACATCAACACCCCCAACATAAACTCTTGCTTGTCCTCAAGCAACTAAAATGACATTATCCTATTCTAGACTCCATCTAAAAAGATATGAAACAAAAGTGACCGTGGACGGTGTTCGTTGTCAGTACTACAAGCATGTATTTTTAATTGTTTTACCCTTCCTGAACCATCAATATTTACAAAGAAACTAATCAACTTGTGAAACTTTGAACCTCGACCAATTTGACAAAATGCAACCCTCAACTGAGTGAACTCGCATTTGACTCAAAAACTCAACTTCTGTCCAACCTTCACAATTCATGTGCCCTCACTAGAGATTTATAATGACAACAAAATGGGACGAATTCACAAATACACTCACTCTCAAAAAGAGTTTCAAGTGTTACAACATACCATACCATAGGCTTGCCCTTATTTTAATTCATCGCTTTATTCTAAGAATGCTCGGTTGGAGATCCCATAAGGACTTTTTAAGCTTGTAATGTAGGTTTAGGGAAGGGTTGGATAAGAATTTGGGTACAAGTGACTACACCCTCCTTGAACACTAATCACATTTTTCTTTCATGTTGCTCTTTGCTTCTTTTCAAACCATGTAGCCCTCATTAGCTTCATCTTTTCCACCATTTAGCCACCTCAACTACCTCTTTTATTTTCTTCAAGACTCCTTATGTATATATACTCACAACTCTTATATTTATTTCTCTTTTTTATTATTATTATTTTTTGCTTTTGGAGCTTGAGTAGTTTCACATTTTGAGGTACACTTTCCTACGCTAATTGCACAACCTTGCCAATTTTCGGCTTGACACCACACCCCCAACTTAGGCTTTTAGCCTCATTCTTAATGCTCAAGGAGGGACGGGTTAAAAAGAGGGAATTATTTCACAAAAAAGGAAAGGTTTATAATGAGGTAGTCAAAGAAAAGGTTAAAGGCTCAAATGGGGTGACTAGTGATACTATCTGTACAATGGGTGGCTTGAAAGGCTAACTGGTTTTCCAAAAATCACTAAGACTGCCTAAGGTCATTTCTCCAACCAAATGTAATTATTATAAGCATCGGAAAAAAACCCGGGAAAGTTCTAGATATGTAAACACAAGAATTATTTACACAAAGACTCACACACATGGCACACAAACTGTTTGGCTCACATAGTTTGAAGCCCTCGAGTCAACACTCTGCAACTCAAAGTTTTCATCATATATATAGGTATAACTCTAGGTAGACATAGAGTCATAGAACGAGCCTCAAGTTCACACAGTTGATGTCTCCCTTTTTTTTTACACAAGGATAACATAACTTATGTACTAAAACCACAAAACATCAATATATACAGAGTCACAAAACACAAATAAATATAGAAGTTTGCTTATATAGCACCAAAAAAATAAACATGTACAACAGTTGCCAATTTCACAAAAATATACAAGGCTACCACCCCCAACTAAAAAGCATGCATTGTCCCCAATGCATAAGAACTTAAAACAGAGTTTAGGGGCTCCCTGAGGCGCACTAAGCGCTAAGAGAGTTGGAAGTCGGTTATGTGATGGTGGGGTCACCCTCTGATTCTAAAGCTGGGACTGATGAGATCTCGGCCGGAGGAGTGACCTCCACTAATGGCGGAGGGATCTCTGGCTGACCCAATACTGGAGTTGGGGCCTGTGAGCTGCTAGCCTCGCCCTCTGATGGCTGAGTGGTTGATGGATTTGCAGGGGCAGCCATGTCTGCTAGCGAATGTTCTATTTCTATCTGAATTGCTGCTTGCTCCTCGTCCTCAACTGTAGAGGCAACAATCTACTACCTTTCTCCTGAGTGCCGTCATCCTCCGTGGACCATGAATCCTCCTCATCCTCTCCCTCATCTGCCTCCTCATCCTCGGACTCTGTAGAATGTTTGGAATGATCCTCAAAAGGAATCTCAATATGTGCAGGGGGAGCTTGAGGCTGGGAAGCCCCGATAGTTGGAGGTGCAATATCTGTCATCAGAGTGGAGAAGTCAAGCTCCAAGCCTGGTGCTACTGTGTCTGCTCCCTGCTCACCTTCCCTGGCAGGAAGGATGATAGATCGAACTCCAAAGTCTGCATCTTGTGGATCTTAGTCTTCATAGTGGCAACTTCCTCCTGGAGCCTAGGCAAGTCACTAAACTCACCTCGATCTATCTTCTCAATCCTCACCTCAAGATGTTGCAGACGATCCCCGTAAGATGTTTGTTGTTGTTGGATTGCTGTCACTGAGGAATGAATAGGAGTCAAATCCTGTTTGATGAGGGTGGGCAAGTTCTTCATAAGTTTGTCTACCTTACCATTAGCATGCTGAGCTATGAGACCAAGCCTCGAAACGACTGGCAGTGCATTAGAGGGCTGAGGAATGGTGGACTGAAAGGCGGGTTGTGAAGTAGAAGTTGATGTAACTGGACCCTGAGGGGTCACATGAGTCTGGGAGTCTGAAGGCTCTACATCAACTAGACCCTAAGTCTGAACCTCTGGGGGGAGAAACATCATCATTAATGCGCATGATATCAATGTCCTTCAGCTCTTTCCCTATCTTGTAAGTGTGTGGCATGGTAGGGACTTTCACATCCTTATAGAGGGCTGTGATCAAACAGGGGAATGGAAGTAAAGTGGCTACCTGCTTTTCCCGAATCCCTAACTCCTAGAAGATAAAAGCACCCACATCAATCTTGATTCCCGCCATGATGCATGCAATGAGAAGAGCTTTCTCAATGCCTATATCAGTCTAATATCTTGACGGTATCAGTCGAGAGGTAACAAAGCTAAGCCAAAATTTACCCTCTCGTGTGAGATCCTCATTGTATAATTTGTGCACAGGGTTGATCCAGGTAGGGGTCCCCTTTGCTATCACAGATGCTATCCAACTCCGCTCATTCTCCCGGCTTGCCCATTTGGTATCATATTGAGCTGTGCTCGGGCTCTAGTCAGGGATGTAAAACTCATTTATAGTCTCATTGCTGCACAAAACACTCTTCCCCCGAACAAACACAGTGTCACAGAAAACCCTATTGCGCTTGTGATGAGCAGTCCTGGAGGCTCCGTATGAGGCATAAAATTCATGGACAATGGTTTCGTTATATTCATCAGGCAGCTCCATAAAGCTCTCCCATTTTCTTGCCTTGATGTTCTCCCAGATGTAGGGGTACTGCTCTTGTAGACCATTCACACTCAATTGTTTTTCGGCCAGGATTTTTCGTTTGTTTAGCCCTTCTCTATAAAGCTCCCTGGACCCTTCGGCCCCAAACCTGAGCTGGAAGTCATCTCCTCTTTTCCTTCTTGCCTTAGCTTGTAGGTCAACTTCGGGCAAGTCTCCTCCTCATCAGACTTAGAGGGACGTGTAGTAGAAGGGTCTGGCCGCGGACGTTTTGCATGTTGGGTTTGACGACTGGAGGATGCCCTTTTCTAGGTGCAGGATGTATGTTTCTTGGGAGCCATATATGCACAAAAGTGAAATGTGAGCGACATGGTAGAAAAAATTGAAAAGAAAACAGAAAAACTCAAGAAAAAGTTAAGAATGCGACAGGTCATCGCATAACCACTATGCGGACCGCAAACATGTTGCAAACTTGCAAGCTCTTTAAATGATCTAAGTATGCGATGGTTCACTATGCGGTTCACATAACCATTGCATACCTGATTGCTCAGAAAACAAAATCATGAAATGAGATCGCAAATGCCACCGCAAAGTAAGAAATGCAATCGCAAAATGGCCACAGAAAGAATGTTATTAAACTAGGTGTTCTGTGTCAGTATGCAGTGACTTTGCGTTCCGCATATCAATTATGCGATCGCAAAGTCGCCGCATTTAGTCATCTTCTTCAGCCTGCTAGGTTTTGCTTTTGCAGCATAAATGCGGACCGCATTTTGATTATGGGAGCCGCACAGTTCATCACTCCCAATGATTTGAGCTCAAACCTCAACAATGGTGGACCTATGTTTTACTACCCAGCACCCCAAACATACTTCCTAACCAAAAAGACTATCACAATACGGGCAGATATCTGCTACAAAACACAAACAAAAGGAAAAAGAAAACACGAAATAATAAAAAAAACACGGGGCAAACAAAAACAAATGTGAAATGAAAGCTTGCAAGAATGAAATTGGGACAAGGAAAACATACTAGTGAAGCACATTTGGGAGATGATTTCATAGATGTTGCTTTATGTTCTTGATTCACTAGACTGTTTGCCTTCTCCGTTCTTAGTTTGTTTTGTTTTCGTTTGATACAAAAATTGATTTATTTTGTTTCTGTTTTGGGCATTTTTGAAATGCGGAAAAGAGATGCGAGGGACTTACCTGGGAGGAATGCGACATGTTAGTCACCGCATAACACCTTATGCGATGGTGGATTCAGCTTGAGTTGCATGAGGGCCAAAATGCGGTGCACTATGCGATCGCATGGTGAAAATGCGGTCCGCAAAGTGCACCACCTTGTCGCGTTTTTATAACCAATTTTAGCCAAACCCACTGTCTGGGTTTGCGACTAAAATGCGGTCCGTATAGTGAAAATGTAACCGCATATGTGTAGCAAACTTCCCAAGGTGATTTTTTTCCCTTTTTTCATGCAATCTTACCCCGTGTTATGATCTTTTGAATCCCCTGCACTCTAACACACACTTTAAATTGCTCAATTAAAGCTATCTAACAAAAATTAAAAATTTAAAGGACAAAAAGTGTGTTACCACACATGGGTTGCCTCCCATGAAGCGCTTGATTTAACATCGCGTCACGACGAAGTTGGCTTTCCTTTTGTTTCACTCATTGGTCGGGCATGGACCATCTTTGAGAGCCAATTGTTCCACCAAATGTTTTTCTCCATCTGTGCCCAAGTAGTGCTTGACTCGCTGGCCATTTACTTTGAAAGTTCCGAGCCCATCCTCTGATGCTAGTTCCACAACTCCAAAAGGAGACACATTGACCACCTTGAATGGACCGGACCATTTCGATTTGAGCTTTCCCGGAAACAATTTTAGCCTTGAGTTGAAGAACAGAACCAAGTCACCCGACTTGAACTCCCGTTTCAAGATCTTCTTGTCGTGGACGAACATCATCCTTTCTTTATACACAGCTGCACTTTCATAAGCATGGAAACGAAATTCCTCCATTTCATTGAGTTGTGTTAACCTCAAATTTGCAGCTTCAACCCAGTCCAAGTTCAACCTCTTTAAAGCCCACATGGCTTTGTGCTCTAGTTCCACGGGTAGATGACAAGCTTTTCCGAAGACTAACCGGTAAGGAGAAGTGCCAATAGGAGTTTTGTACGCCGTATGGTACGCCCGCAATGCATCATCTAGCTTCCTTGACCAATCGGTCCGGTTTGCATTAACAGTCTTTGCTAGAATGCTCTTTATCTCCCAGTTAGAAACTTCAACTTGGCCACATGATTGGAGATGATAAGGTGTGGCCACCTTATGCTTGACACCATATTTCTCTAGTAGCCCCGTGAAAGCCTTGTTACAGAAATGAGACCCACCATCACTAAGAATGGCTCTAGGAGTGCCAAACCGAGTGAATATGTTTTTCTTTAAGAATGCGGTCACACTTCTTGCCTCGTTGTTTGGTAAGGCAATTGCTTCAACCCATTTGGAAACATAGTCCACAACTACCAAGACATATATCATCCCACAAGAGCTTACAAAGGTACCCATAAAATCAATTCCCCATACGTCGAAGATTTCTATCTCCATCACAAAGTGAATTGGCCTTTCATGCCTCTTGGAGATTGATCCTTGCCTTTGGAATTGGTCACAAGCCTTGACCATTTGATTGGAATCATGATAGATTGACAGCCAATAATAACCACATTCAAGCACCTTAGCCGCCATCTGATTTCCCCCATGGTGACCCCCAACCGGTGAGTCATGGCATGCCTTTAAAATTGGCATAATCTATTCTTCTGGAACACACCTTTTGATGATGTTGTCAGCACAATCACGGAACAAGAATGGTTCTTCCCAATAGTATTGCCGACAGTCTCTCAAAAACTTCTTCTTTTGATTGGATTCCAATCCATCCGGAATAAGATCACTAACCAAGTAGTTAGCAATATCAGCATACCAAGGAGAAAAAGTGCTAGATAGTGATAATATGTGTTTATCCGAAAATGCATCGTTGATTTGAAGATCTCCCTTTGGCCTCCCTGCCTCTTCAAGCCTTAATAAATGATCCGCTACTTGATTTTGAGTTCCATTGCGATCCTTGACCTCGAAGTCAAATTCTTGCAACAACAAGACCCATCGAATCAACAAAGGCTTTGCATCCTTCTTTGCCATGAGATAGTGAAGAGCAGCATGATCTGCGTACACTTTCACTTTGGATCACAAAAAATAAGCCCGGAACTTCTCAAAGGCATAGACAATGGCAAGAAGTTCTTGCTCAGTTATTGTGTAATTCATTTGCGCTCCATTAAGTATCTTTCTTGCATAATAGACCGGGTGGAGAACCTTGTTGTGACGTTGGCCAAGCATTGCTCCAACAGATACACCACTGGGGTCACACATGAGCTCGAAAGGAAGAGACCAATCGGGTGTGACAATAATAGGTGCCGTGGTGAGCCTTTGCTTCAATTCCTCAAAGGCTTTGAGGCATTTGTCGTCGAACACAAATTTGGTATCTTTCTCAAGGAGTTTTCACATAGGATTTGCAATCTTGGAAAAATTCTTGATGAAACGCCTATAGAAACCAACATGCCCCAAGAAACTTCGAACACCTTTAACGGAAGTAGGTGGAGGAAGCTTGGAAATAATCTCGACCTTTGTCCGGTCAACCTCTATGCCATGTTTTGAAATTTTATGCCCCAATATAATACCTTCATACACCATGAAATGGCATTTCTCCTAGTTGAGCACAAGGTTGACCTCTTCACATCTCTTAAGCACCTGTCTAAGATTGTTAAGACAGTGCTCAAAAGAGTCACCTACCACTGAGAAGTCATCCATGAAAACCTCTAGAAAAGCCTCCACCATGTCGGAGAAAATGGACATCATACATCTTTGAAAAGTAGCCGGAGCATTGCACAAACCAAATGGCATATAGCTAAAACCAAAAGTTCCATAAGGGCAAGTGAATGTTGTCTTCTCCTGATCTTCCAATGCGATGTTGATTTGGTTGTAACGGGAATATCCATCAAGAAAGCAATAGAATTACCTTCCCGCTAGCCGATCAAGCATTTGATCAATAAAAGGCATAGGGAAATGGTCTTTGCATGTGGCACTGTTGAGCTTTCGGTAATCCATACACACCCTCTATTCGGTCACAGTTCTTGTAGGGATGAGATAATTTTTATCATTTTCAACAACAGTCATGCCTCCCTTTTTCGGCATACATTGCACAGGGCTCACCCAAGAACTATTGACAATGGGGTAGACTACCCCGGCATCAAACCACTTGATGATTTCTTTCTTTACCACCTCTTGCATGGATGGGTTCAACTGTCGCTGATGTTCCACACTTGGTTTTATCTCACTCTCCAATTAGATCTTGTGTTCGCAAATTCCGGGGGAGGGGGGGGGGTCCCTTGGATATCCACAATTGTCCATCCAATAGCTTGCCAATGCTCATTCAAGACTTCCAACAATTGTTCTACCTGCATATCATTCAACAAAGAAGAAACGATTACCGGTAAAGTATCATTTGAGCCAAGAAATTTATACCTCAAGTGTGGTGGAAGTTGTTTGAGCTCTAATTGCGGTGGCTCAATAATAGAAGACTTTGCGGTAGGAGTGGCTCTATTATCCAAGTCGAGAGAGAGCTTTGCCGGAGCGTAATTGTAGGACCCAAGCCCCTCCAATGCGTTTACCGATTCTATATATACTTCCATATCTTCACTATCAAAATTTACCAAAATAGCCGCCAACGCCTCACCAAGGCATTGTTCTTCCATCTTCATTTCACCCGCATCTTCCACTTCATCAACAACATCAATCACCAAGACGCTCTCATATTCATGTGGTAGTTTCATACCCTTGCTTGCTTGGAATGTGACCTCTTCATCATTCACACGAAATTTGATCTCATTCCGTTCCTAATCCATTAGTGCTCTTCCTGTGTCTAGGAATGGTCTCCCCAAAATGATAGGGATCTCTTTGTCAACCGCACAATCAAGAATTACGAAATCGGCGGGTAAATGAAACTTTCCCACTTTAACAAGTACATCATCAACAATTCCCACCGGTCTCTTTATGGAATGATTGGACATTTGCAATCTCATACTTTTAGTCCTTGGCGTACCTAACCCTGCTTGCTTGTAAATGGCAAGAGGCATCAAGTTGATGCTAGACCCATTATCACAAAGGGCACTTGCAAAATCATGTGCCCCAATAGTACAAGGAATGGTGAAAGCTCCTGAGTCTTCTTTCTTTTGAACGGTAGATGTTGCAATGATAGAACTAACCCGGTGAGTCACATTCACCAGTTCATTTTTGGTGGTTCTCTTCTTTGTGATCAAATCTTTTAAATATTTAGCAAAATCCGGCATCTCTTGAAATGCTTCAACAAATGGAATATTCACCGATAATTTCTTAAGAATGTCATAGAACTTTTCGAGTTTGCTATCATCAACCTTCCTAGCAAGTCTTTGAGGGAATGGAGGAGGTGGTCTAGGAATAGGTGGTAGATTTTTTGGTGTCTCTTTTACCTTTTCCTTTACCTCATCCCGGTTTTCTTGTTGCAGTTTCCACTCTTCCGAAACCTTTTCAACTTTAACAACCCTTGGCTCTTCAACCTCAACTTCATGTTCGGACTCTTCAACTTCAACCACTTGTTCACTCCCTCCTTGTAGTACCTTTCCACTCCGAGTATTAATTGCCATGACATGAGAAGGTGGACCACTTCCACTACCCTTGGGGTTCGCAATTGTGTCACTTCGAAGTGTCCCTTTTTGCTTAGGATTTTGTTCCCTAGAGAGGTCTCTCATTTGCATCTCCAATTTTTGAATGGATGCGGTATGAGAACCAACAAGCTCGATCATATTCCTCATAGAAGTGTCAGAAGAGCAATACCCATTCAAGCATGCCTTCCAACTTAGTCTCACTTGAGGAACCTTGATTTGAATATTGACCATTTGGAGGAACATAAGGGTATGAACTCCGATTTGGGAAGTTGTTCTTTTTGTTCCAATTACCTTGATTTGAGCCGCCTTGGTCTTTTATCCACTGTTGATGGCAAGGCCTCCATTGAGTTTTTTGTCCTTGACCTTGGTATTGTAGCCTTTGATATCCACCTTGAGAGTTGTTGATATAGTTTGCCTCCTCAAAGTCTTCATTTGATAAGGGTTGCACATCTTCCACCACATTTACTTTCTTCGTTTGGCTTTCTGTGAACATCTTTGTCAACACATTGACATTTGTGGCAAGCCCTGCAATCACTTGATCCCTCTCTTGGTTTTCCTTGATCACGGTGGTCAATGAAGGAGACCCATATGAAATTCCACATGTGGTGTCCTCTAAGTGCCATCATTTATTATGCTTTGCCATTTTGTCAAGTATTTGTGTGACCCTTGTGAATGATTTGTCCATGAAAGATCTGTCAGCTGCATTCTTGGCTATAGATTGGTTCATAGGATCCAAGACCATGTAGAATTTTTCCAACAAGATAGAATCCGAAAAATCATGGTTGGGAGACCTCACAAAATATAACTTGAACCGATCCCATACCTCATGTAGACATTCTCATGGTACTTGCTTGAAAACGAAAATTTTAGCCCGGAACTCAGACTTCTTACTTTGCGGGAACCATTTAGCTAAGAATGCCCGGACAAGTTCAGGCCAATAATGAATGGAGTTTGGTGGCATATTCTGAAGCCATTTCCTTGCGTCCCCAGCTAGTGAGTACTTGAAGCAGCTCAACCTTAGAGCATCATCTGAGACGTTGTTCTACTTATGCATCGCGCACACACCCAAGAAGTTTTTAAGATGTTGTGTCGGATCATCATAAGTAGAATTCCTGAAAACCCCCTCCGCTTTGAGCATAAGGATTAAACCATGTTCCACCTTGAAAGTTGCAATGCCAACGGCTAGGAGTACAATAGCATTTGTATCCTCAATGTACTCCTTTATGTCCGCAAAAGGATTTGCTTCCATTTCCGCCTCCATTTCATCTTCATATTCGGCCATGTTTTCTTATCAATACCAGGCAAAACAAGCAAAGTGTGATGGAATAGACTAAGACGTAGAGTAAAGCACACACTAATTAGTAATTTCAAAACTGTATTCCCCGGCAACGGTGCCAAAATTTGATACACTCAAATTACACTTTAATTAAATAGTGTAAGGCGGTCGGTGTCATGTATAATAACCCAACAAGGTTGGGGTCGAATCCTATAGGGAATAGGTGTAAAAAAGTTACTCAAATAGTGTGTTACTTGACTAAAGTCGTAATTCTATTCGGTTAATGGTAATAAGAATATGAATTGAGTTTGGTTTGAAGAAATAACTAATTGTGATATTGAGAGTGTAAATAATTTGATTAACGAAACCAAGGTTGTGTCCCCTTCAATGAAGTGTAATTCTATCGGTGTTAATATTATATATTTCTAATGGAAGGTTCTTTTGATATGCAAATGATTTCTAAATGACTACCCAATGTTTTCCAATAACTGGGTAGTATTTCCTCTTTACGTTTTTTCCAAATATAAAAGATTTGCAATTAAGAATAATTAATATATGCCAAATAAAACTCACTTATTCCTAAGTGATTCTATTAAACTAGGTTTAAAGCCTTGAGTCTTTGATATTCACTTCTACCAAATTCTAAGCCACTTTCCCAAGCAATGTAAGAATTTAATGGCACTTGTTAATGTTTGCAACCTCCAACAATAAATGAAGAATGAGAAGTAAATTAATATCAACCAACCATTATACATACATTCAATGTTAAACACCCATTTAGGGTCCACACCCTTAGTTTTTAAAGTTAGCTACACATACTAAAATACAAAAGGAAGAGAATATTTAATGCCATAAAGCTTACAAAGTGAAAGATTCTTGACCCAAAAGCTTCCAAAAAGAGGAATACTAAAGCCTTGTATTGTAGCTCCAAAATAAGACAAGATGCCCCCACAAAACCCCAATAAATCTTTTTATAGTGTGTCAAAACTCGGGACAAAATTTGGACAAAAATTCCCTTTCCGGTTAAATATGCGGCCATATATCTGTCGCATAACAGACATGCGGTTCGCATTCTCGAAATATCCATCGCATCTTCAAACCCTAGTTTCCAGGCCTTCATCACATTCACGTTCTGCGGTGCGCATTGCACATATGCGATCGCATTTTGTGTCGCATTTTCTACCTTCAACAACCTTCATGTCGAGTTTTACGGTCCATTATGTGGCTCGCAAACAGGTTATGTGATCGCAGACTGGACCACATGTCTTGCACTAGACTTTGCCCAGAAATCTGTTGTGGGTTGAGATCTCCTTGAGCAATCTGCGGCTCGCATGTTGGATTTGCGATCGCATATCCACATTTGCGATGCCTTTTTGCTCTTTTCTTGTCTTTTTGTGGCTTTTTTATTTCATTTCCGTGCTCTTATGTCCTTAAACCTCATACACTGCAAAAACATTAAAATTACATAAGTATAGAAGATAATTTCATCTAAAACAAGCTAAGATCTAAGCAATTTGTATTAAATGTGCCGAAATTCTCCGGAACATCAATTACCTTTGCCTCCCTGATACTGATATATAGAATCCATAATGATATAGAAATTCCACAAGTCTTGACACCATCCAATATAGATCTCAGTTTCTAGCCAAATACACATCCTGAAGATTCCCAATTGTTACATATAAATCTTGAATCCATTAGAACCATTCTCCAGAGTCATCAACTCTACTCAAATCTCAATTAAACTGATCCAACAGACCGAACGACCTGTTCCCCATTTGCACATCAACACCCTAAGAAGTAACCCACACTTCTAAACAACCGAGTGAATTCCCTACTCTATGCACCCTGCATTCTTTACGGATAACAACTCAATCATTAAGTGTTTCCCATATACCCACAAACATAATAGAACATGTATCCAGAAATTCCTTTACTCGAGTCATGCTCGAACTCAACCTCTGCCAGTCATAACTGATTCACCTATATACCTAAGCCTGAAACCAATACAACACATAACAATACAATCAACTTATACATAACAGACTCCCCCACATGGCTCAAAGCCAAGGAATAAAGCATTTGATCACTTATAATACCCATACTATGTTGCTGCCCAAAATCCCGCATTGAAATTCAACTAAATCCTTCATAAGCTTATGTAACACAAACAATCTAATATCTCAAATCATCTGCAAATCTCGCATTCACCCTTGTAACAGTCAAGTCAACACTCTTAAATGGTCCAAATTCAAATTGCAACACATATAATTCATTGGTAAAAGAGAACTCACTACAAAACAACATAGGGATCACACAAACCTTAGGACACCCCATATGAGATAAACCACCTGCTTCGCCTCAAACTAACATCTTTTTATACCTTTCCACAGTCATAACTATTATGCAATCACTTTATCTTCATGAGTCTGAACTCATATTAGGACATGAAAATCTACTCCACTCCTCAACTAAACAGCATGAGAAGATCCTGCAACACATCCATAACTCGAGACTATACGTCAAATCTAGTTGAAAATCAAGCACCCAATAGTTCTTTGTACACCTCAAGCAAATCCTTCTCGTCACATTCCAACCATATGAACATATCTTGCAGTCACATCATACTCGTCATGTAGCCATCAAGCTATAAATTCCACTAATAGGAACACTACCTGACATATAAATCTAAAAGCACGTGCTCACACAATCAACACCTCTGTGCTCAAGCTACAGTCAAACCCCGGCCTCAAGTCCTCCAGACTGGCCCATCATCAACACACAGAAATCACATCTCGCACCTCATCTAGGGAATCACAAGCCATCGATGCACACCTTATACCGAGCGCTCAAGTGCGCATACGAATGCGTGGAAGAAATTCAAAGGATTACGATTCAAGCTAAATCAATGTCGCACGATAAGGAAAGAAATATAGGAAGTATATCCTAAATGCTATGTAGCCTCTCGAAGTTAGGTTTGGACGTCATCATACTAATCCGCAAGACTATACTAGACACTTGCTCATGACTTGTAGAACCTATGAATCTAGAGCTTTGATACTAAACTGTCACAACCCAAAATCCACTAGTCGTGGTGGCATCTAACTTAGACCACTAGGTAAGCCAACTAATAACTATCCAATTCCACTAATATTAATACGATAATTAAGCAAAAGGAATTATCTAAATCTTATACATTCCCCAATGACTGGTAGTACAACTCATGAGCTTCTAAGAATAGAATTTTACAGAGCTGATATGAAGTAAATACATCTTCTATTTGAAAAGTACATAAACAAATTTTTTTTTATAAATCTAAGGCTACCATGAACGAGAGGTAGCTACAAAAGGAACGCGGGCACATCTTCAAATCCGGCAACAATCGAGCACATCAACAACAGCAGCCAACATCTGCATGCAATGTGTAGAAGTGTAGTATCAATACAACCGACCTCATGTACTGAGTAAGTAAGAAACCTAACCTTAGGTTGAAAGTAGTGACAAGCTGGAACATAGGTCGGGTCCAGCATCAATAACTAATAGCCGTTCATTACAACGTAGAATATATAAATAAGGCAGTAACTAAGAGATAAAAATGCTCAGCGTTTTCATAGTTTCTCGAAAGTAGTTCCACTTTTCAAGAATATCAGTAGAAACTCACATCCTTTACCGAAATCGTCGTAAGATATGGGATAGTTTGAAAACTGTAATTTATCTAAAATCCTTTTCATAGTAAATAAGATATTTCATTTTTCATTCCAGATAGCAAGTGTGAAATATCTCTCTATGACCACATATCAATGTACGCAAAAAGTTATGAATGACGTGATATTGTACATCATGAGGAAAAATGCATCTATAT